GGTGTGTGCTTGCTTGATAAGATCCTAACTTTACTTTAAATACACTGTAGGAATCGAATATCCATTTATGATTAAGGTTTTGCCCATTTTTCAGTGGGAGTGGCAATACTCATTGATGAGTGATTTATCGTACCCAACTGTTAGCAGCTAATGATTAATTGATTTACCTATACTTCACATCAGAACCTCATTTCCTTCAATTACTACTCCGTCGCAGCACACACCTTATATGGATCGCTAACCTTTATTTAGTTTCAGCATTTTCGATATTATAATCAAAAGGTGAGTTGACCTCCCGTCGTCCAAGGTGGCTCTACGACCGTGCCGATTGGGAAGGTTACGAAATAAGCATCAGCAGCATATGTCAGGAGAACCCACCTCTGAGACTGGACGAGCTTACGGAAAATATGGTAAAGGCAGCGAACCAGGCCATCCCCAAATCAAAGGCGAACCCGGGACACAAACCCCTTCATTGGTGGTCACCCACAACGAAGGCGGCCGTCAAAGCCAGGCGCAAGGCCCTCCGCGCAGCCAAACGTCTACCGCAGGGCCACCCTGATAAAGAAAAGGCCATCGAAGTGTACCGCTCCGCCAGGAACCAGTGTCGGCAAACCATCCGGGATGCCAAAAAGGCCAGCTGGGAAAGCTTCCTAGATGAGATAAATGCCAACCAATCTGCGTCTGAGAACTGGCAAAGGATCAACGCTATCCGGGGAAGCAGGCGAGCCCGGGGCTTCACCCTCCGAGGACCAAACGGAATAACCCGAGATCCGGAGGAAATCGCCAACCTCCTTGGCGATTATTTCGAGTCGCTGTCCAGCCTGGGAAACTACGACGAGGGTTTCCGAAACCGCAACTCCACCTCCAGCATCAACAATTTCCAAATCCCCGACGACGGAAACGACCTCACCATCAACAGGCCTTTCACAATGGAAGAGCTGGGCTTCGCCCTCAGAAAGGCCAAGGGCAAATCCGCCGGGCCGGATGAGGTCGGATACTCGATGATAAGGAACCTCCCACCCACGCAAAAGGCGACCCTCCTCGAACTGTTCAACCAGGCCTGGACTGACCGCCAGATGCCGAACACCTGGAAACACAGTCTAATCGTACCCATTCCGAAAAACCCCGGACCGGCATTACTGCCTAAGGACTTCCGACCGATCTCCCTGACCAGCTGTTGCAGCAAAATTATGGAGCGCTTGGTTAACCGAAGACTGACGGGCTTCCTCGAAGGGAACAGCCTGTTGGACCACCGGCAACACGCTTTTCGACCTGGCCACGGAACCGGCACCTATTTTATACCTATTTAATAGCCTCGGCCAGATCGTCCAGGAGGCACTCCGTAAGGACCAACACGTAGAGTTAGCCTCCCTGGATCTGGCTAAGGCTTACAACAGGGCATGGACACCACAAGTCCTACACCAACTGTCCAAATGGGGTCTTGGAGGAAATATTCTCTACTTCCTGAGGAATTACCTATAGGACAGGACATTCCAGGTGACCATCGGTAATCATCGATCCAACACCAGGCGAGAGGAGACTGGAGTTCCACAGGGTTCCGTAATTGCTGTCACCATCTTCTTGGTGGCAATGAACGGAATCTTTGTGGGCCTGCCAAAGGAAATATACATCCTGGTGTATGCGGACGACATCTTGCTCCTAGTAGTCGGGAAAACTCTAAAAGCAATGAAGGTAAAATTGCAGGCGGCGGTCTCTGCGGTTGGTAGATGGGCCGCCAAGACAGGCTTTGCGATATCAGCCGAGAAAAGCTCGGTTTCCCATGTCTGCCGGCATGGTCACCGACCACTACCGACCCCGATTGGGATCGACAAGCAGGCAATCCCCAGGAGGAAATCTATCTCCATACTAGGAGTCACGATTGACCGAAACTTCCGGTTCGGCCCCCACCTCAACGAGGTCAAGGCCAACTGTCGAACAAGACTAAACATCCTTCGCTCCCTATCCGGTCCACACAAGGTGAACAACCGAGGTATTGTGATGAACACCGCCAGATCCATCGTCCACAGCCGACTGACATATGGAATCGAACTTCTATGCGCGTCCAGCGACTCCATCATCTCCCGTCTTGCACCGATATACAACCAGGCTACTCGGATTGCAGCCGGTCTACTGCCATCAACACCAGCCGACGCCGCATGCATTGAGACCGGAACACTACCGTTCCGGTTTTTCATTGCGGAGTCGGTTTGTACGAGAGCCGTGGGACTCGACGAGCAACTCAGTGGAGACGGAGATTTCTATCTCCTCTCGGAGGGGAAACGAATTCTCCAAGAGACCGCCCACCAGGAGCTCCCTCCGGTGTCTAAACTCCACTGGGTCGGAGCCAGGGAGTGAGATGCCTCCCCCATCCGATCAGATAGAACCATGGCCAACCGATTCAGAGCAGGGGACAACTCGGCGGAAATGAGAACCTGCCTCACCGAGCGACTGAGAACGATGTACCATAACCACCAACTCCGATACACCGACGGATCGAAGGCTAGGGGCCGAGTAGGTAGGGGCCCATTTCTGGAAACTCCTGGACCAATGCTCGTTCTTCTCAGCAGAAGCAGCAGCCCTACATTACGCGGCCTCCCTACCATCCTCCTCCCCTCTATGCATACTCACGGACTCCGCCAGCGCTCTGGCTGCAGTGGAGTCTTCCACTGCACGCCACCCGTGGATTCAGGCCATCCAGAAGCACACACAACCCGGCACCACCTTCATGTGGATACCGGGCCACTGCGGAATCGCCGGTAACATTGAAGCCGACCACCTCGCGGCCACCGGACGAAGCGGCCGTCTTGCCCACAAGTCGGTCCCCAGACAAGACCTGAAAGTCTGGATAAAATCTACCATCAGGTCAGCATGGGGCAACGAATGGAACAGCAACCAAGAGCTTTTCATTAGAAAGGTCAAAGGGGAAACGGCCCCATGGACGGACACCAAAAGTTACGCGGAACAGCGAATACTCTCAAGACTTCGAACCGGTCACACCCGGATTACTCACAACATGGGAAGCAGCAGCGGTGGAGGCTTCCGGAGGAGATGCGACGCGTGCCGAACAACGATGACGGTTGAGCACATCCTTATCAACTGCCCGTGTTTCCACGGATCACGGGAGTTGTACGGTCTGGCCGACAACATTCGTGACGTCCTCCAAAACGACCCGGTAGCGGAAATCCAACTCATCTGCTTTACGAAGGATGCAGGAATCTACAAAAATATTTAAAATACGATATTGATAGCAGGCCCGGCAACCCTGTCGGCAGCGGCTGCCAGGGTCACCTGGCAGTTTCTGCCGGTGGGGTTCTACCGGGGTCCTGAATTTAGTTACTATAACACGAAAAATACTATTTTGATAGCAGGCCCGGCAACCCCTGCCGGTAGCAGCTGCCAGGTTCACCCGGCAGCCTCTGCCGGTGGGGCTCTACCGGGATCCTTTAGACAGCCTTTGAAATAAAAATTTGACAGCTAGCTGAGACAGGAAACATAAGTTTCAAAAACCAAAACCCCCTTTTCCCCTAGGAATACCCCCCTCTGGGGTATTCGGAGACGAGCCAGCCAACGGCTGAAAGTCTCCTTAATAAAGAGATAAAAAAAAAGGTGAGTTTTAAAAGTATAATTACCATGCATATAGATAAGTTAATGTACCAGAACCTGGACGGACACGAGCCTACCCAGGGGAGGACCCGGATACGACCACCCATGTGTGTCTAGAGTATCGCACGAGCTGACGAGTGCAACGGGAAGGACAGTAGGTGTATAGACTAGGGGGTTGGTCCCTAGATAAGCCTTCTTAGCGGAAGGCACAGCCTATGCACTGAACAATTACAATTACAATTGACGATTAATTAAAAGACGTTCTACATATGTAAATCAATACACTTGCTGCTGCAGTCATTTCAAGCGAATAAGGTAGTCCCACGGCCCTGCAAGTGATTCCATATCAATTTCAACAAAATGATTGCCAAGTAGGTCTTTAAAGGAGCCCTTCCAAGTTTGCATTCTCCCGGAATTTCGCAGCCAATCCTGCTACCTGTCTAAGAACCTAGATAAAAGTCAGAATTTTTTTTCCTCTTTTCGGGACCTAACACTACTGGGACCATTAAATTGATCTATTGTAGTATATCCCGTGTCATTAGTTTAGTGCATGTCGTATTACTCCATAACTATTGAGAAATGATGAAGTATTCGATTTTTTTTAAAGTTGCCACTCTTGCATTTATCGCAAGGATCCGACTCTAATTGAAAGGTCCCGCTATTTATACCCTTCGGAGTGTTGAAACACCCTCCAAAGGCGCGCCCTTTGTCAGTCAAAATTGGATTCCTTAGTAACAAAATTAAGGTATGACACCGATAATGACCATGCATCAGAACCCTAGTCACATAGATGAAGACAACTAGCTCATTCTTTCCTTGTTTCAAGCTCATCCTCGGTAGACAAAGCCATAAAAAGTAACAAGGACTAAGATGTGTTCCTTGGATTACTGAAAAATCCTGTTCCCCTAGTTTGAAGTAGTCAGGACTAGGAATCGGTGGTAGATATTACATCCCGTAACGTACCACGAAAAGGTGATCTACCCACGTTACAGGGCAAGAGTTTATTTATTAGAAACAAAAAAAAAAGATGATTTGAAGTGCAAACTTACCAAAAACCACAACTATCTCTGTTGTATTCCCGTCTGTTTATATCCAGTCGACTGCTGGAAAGGTGACGACTCTTGTCACTTGAAATCATCACTTCAGTACGACTGTGAGAGTAAGGTGAGAGTTCATCGGGTTCAAGTGACTTTTCTCACCTCACTCGCCAGCTGGAATCGGGTGACACTAGTGACTAGAGTCACCTCACCTCATTCGCCACGCAGAATAACCCTGAAAGAACCTGGATAATCATGTCCACCATGATGTGGCTTCGTTTTGTTCTTTATTGTTTATTTAGTGAATATTGGGCCGGTGATAGAACCACTTCCTGTTTCAGCAAACTCATCAGGTGTCGATTGTTTGCATCTGGTTTTGTTTTATTTATAAATGTATTCATCAGCTAAAAAAAACTAGAGACATTCGATACTCAGCAGCAATCCTTCTCATCAAAATAATGTTCCTCTTTTAAGTTCAGTTAGTGTCCACAGTGTAGAAAGCAATAGTAGTAATAGTAGTTGATAACCAAAAAAAAAATCATACTTTTCTTTTCAAACTTTAGCTCGCCTCGTGGCTCAAATATTGAACCGACGGGTGACGAATTTTAACACCTAAGACGTCGTCCTCAAATCAAAGCATAACTCCTCTTCGCATTTGGAACTTTCGTGGAGGAAGCCCCATGTGCAACAGATCGGAAACACTCCAATTGCTTTCACTCAAAGAAATTTATTTTCCTCTTTCTCTCTTTCTCTTGGCCTATTTTAGGATTTATACTTTAGTTAAACATTTAAACGTAGGATCCAGTCGTTTGAGATTGCGCGGTTTGGTACATTTGCTAAACAATACTTCGCTAGTTCGCTGAATTCCTGTGTGTTAATCGCAATGATAGTGATATAATATGGGTGCAAAATTAAGATAATGCAATATGGTGCTGGTCGGGTTTCCGGGTGAGGTTCTGTACAATTAACTTTACATACGTTGAGTAACGTAAAAGGAAATGCCTGTGCGTGACGCATTAAATATTTTAGAAATTAACGTTGATGTTAAAGCTTACAACACAATGCGGGGTGAAGGATTGTGAATTTTCTGCGCGTTTTCCGTTTTCTTTTATTCCTAAACTCGAAGTTTTTAAATTTTCTAAATTTTAAAAGGTTGTTAAATACACAAAAAGGGTTTTAAAAAACATAAATAAATTAACTTTTCCTACTAAATACAGCGAAACGTAAGGAATAGTGTAAAACTTAACACTGAGAGAATCGTTCATTATCCGAACTCCGCAGTGGGTGGTTGCGGTGGAACAGATTTGGTGACTTGTCAAAGTGCTGCGACGGTAGGATGGAAGAGGCAGCGGCGGCGGCGGCTGCTGCCGTGGCGGCTAAGTTGCCGCCACCAGCCGCCATCATCCGGGACGTGTGCAGATAGTTGTCGTCGCCGATCGGGGCCTGCCGGCTGCCGTAGCGCATTTCCCGCACCAGCATCGTCTTGTACTTCCGGTGGATCCGCTCGAGCGAGTTGGCAATTTCGTTCAGCTTCTTGATGGTTTTCCGAGCGGCACCCGGATCCTCGCAGGCGGCCGTCAACGTGGAATCCAGCTCCTCCAGGCCGTTAAAATTGGCCATGATCAGCGAGTGCAGCCGCTGGAGATCCCGTGCCGGATCGAGAGCCGTTGCCAGCTCCATCTGGAATGGTTTCGGTGAGACGGCCGTGCAGCCCGATGCGTACTGGTCGTTTTCGCTGCAACTGGAAGAGAGGAACCAGAGAGCGGAAGGTAAGTCAAGCGTTTAAATGGTATTTTGTACATATATACAGTCTGAAGGACTCAATTAGAACTACATAGCTTCTTTATGTATGGAGCTGAAATTAATGTTTAGTGCTTGCCATTTTCAATTTCAGATCTGCATTTGGTTTCTGGATGATGACACAAAGTGGTGAAGCAGATGAGGTTTTGCTAAACCTTGTCTTTAAACACTATGCATCAGGGGTAGTGTAATATAAACCTGAAGTTCAACGTTTTTTTAGCCTTAGTTTGCATAACAGTAGAAGTTATCCCCGTACAAAATCATTCAGTTTTTAGGCATCTAATTTTGGTGATTTTAAAATTTCAAACAAAAAAAAAATCGCTTGCTGCTTCAACCAAATTTTATGAAATTTTGAACACTTATGCACTGAAGTGTATAATTAATGGGGAACATTCTGGTCACCAGGCCGGATTTTCACCGGTGGTTACCTGGGTCAGACAGGATAAAAACAGACCAACTTCCTTTTCATTTGAATAGGATTTTTGGGGAAACTTGTTTATTTAGCTACATAAAACTTAGTTCTGTAGACTAGATAGCTCTCAGGACGACCTGAATCATTCGGTTAAAGTGGTCAATTGATAAAACTCGTCCAAGAGCGCCACGCTTTTTTCAAAAATGCTTGTATTTGTGTTTTCAGACCTATTTTGGAGTGGCCCGGAATATCTGGAATATCCGGAACAACCGTAAAAATAGCTAATTCTTGATACTCATCCTAGAGCAATGCGGTTTTTTAAAAAATGCTTGTAGATACATTATCAGACGTAATTTGGACTTGTGACCGGATTTAATTTACCTGTGAAAATGTTTTTTTAAGTCATCATGGCAAAAAGTTGGGGAAGTTTACCGCTCCGAAAAAAATAATTACGTTTCGATTTTTCTAAAATTTTTGGAAAAAGATATCAAAAATCAATTTTCTTCTAATTTTCTAAAGGAAATTCAGGTAGAACAATATTTTTTTAAGTCATCATGGCATAAAGTTGGACTCAAAAAACCACAAAACATCGACTTTTCGGTTTTGCTGAGTCCAATTTTTTTTTTTGAATTACAAACTAATAAGAACACAAAATTTGAACATGTATGGGCCAAAGCACTTATTGCTGGTGAAACACACATTTTTACTTCTGTGTATTTCCCACCTGAACATGCGAACAAACATTCTTTTCAGTTATTTTTCCAAATTGTCGAAACCTTCATGTCAAATATGGAACCAGAAATAAAACTGCATATATATGGTGACTTCAACCAACGCAACGCAGACTTTATCACAGACATTGAAAACGAATAATTTTTACTTCAAATCGTAGATTCAGATGAAACATTACAAGTTTTTTTTTGACAAAATCTCATATTTAGGTCTACATCAAATTAACCACGTGCAAAATCAGCAAAATGCATATTTAGACCTTTTATTTACGAACTGTACTGAAGACTTCTGTGTGTATGCATCATTATCACCTTTATGGAAAAATGAAGTGTTTCACTCAGCAATTGAATATTCAATCTTCATACAAAATACTTCTTCTCTCAGCGACTGGGAGTACGAGAAAGTGCCGGAATATCATAAAGCAAATTACGAAGAAGCCAAACGTAGACTATGTACAATAAATTGGCAAAATATAATAAGTATTGAAGGAAATGTCGACAATGAAGTTGGTAGATTTCATTCAATAATTCGTAACATAATTTCAGAAACCGTACCAATAAAAAGAAGAAGGCGAACACAAAACAACAAACTGCCAGTGTGGTTCAATCCACAACTAAAACATTTGAAGAACAAAAGGCAGAAAGCACACAAATTATACCAATGCAACCAATTCAACACAGCCATTAACACTGCACATGAAGAATATAATCGTAAAGTCGAAAATGAAGTCAAATCATATCCTAAGAACTTTTTCAATTATGTAAAAACGAAATTGAAAAGTAATAATTTTCCGTCACGAATGCATTTTGATGGAAATGTAGGTGAAAATACTCCTGAAATCTCCAATCTCTTTACACATTTCTTGCAGGAAATATACACCTCATTTTCTGATAAAGACCGCGACTGCGACCGCGACTTCTTTGCATTCATTCCCGAAGTCTCTACATATCTGTCAATCAAATATTTCAACATGAAGTCCTAAACTAAACAATTTGGACGCATCTAAAGGACCAGGACCTGACGGAATTGCACCTGTATTCTTGAAGAATCTTTCAGACCAACTTACCCTTTCTTTAGAACGCCTTTTCAATATGTCTCTGAAAAATGGGAAATTCTCTGAAATTTGGAAATCGTCTCATTTCGTGCCTATTTTCAAATCAGGCAAGAAATCTGACAATCCGTAATTATCGTGGAATTGCATCCCAAAATTTTTTGAATCAATCGTAAACGACAAAAATTTTCAGCAAGCAAAAAATAAAATTACAAACAAACAGCACGGCTTTTTTAAACCTCTAATTTTCTTGAATTTGAGGGATTCCATCCAGAATGAGCTGAAAAAACCTGAAATCGTGCTCGACCATCTTCGATTTGGATGATACTTTGCCCATATTTTCAGTATGATAGACCAAGTATTTTCCGCAGGAGAGGAAACCCTTTTGACTCAAGGGTAATTTTTGAAAAGGGCCTATGTGTTTTTGCACACATGCTTTTAAAAAATGTAGTTCGAAAACAGTTGGTTGTAGAAAAAAATTTACTAAGAAGGAGTTGTAGGAAACTAATAAGGCTTTATAAAAAAATTATACGCGGATTTTTTTTTTCATTTGTTTACAAAAAATATTAAAAATAAACCTCAAAATTCAAATAACAAAAAACCGTATTTTTGATTTTTTTTTATATTTTTTGTATAAAAATTTGAATAGAAAGCCGAAGTTTTGAAAACAACTCTAGGATGGACAAACTTTTAATAAAAAAGTTTTTCTAAGAGCAACTTTTGAGGCATTTTTGAAAATTTCATTATTTACGGCAAAATGTTCAGTTTGATGTTAGTATATGATTATAAAAATCATTTCAAACGATAGTGCACATATCGATAAACTTACTAAATATAACCGTTTTCGAGATATTTCAAATTTACTTTCATCAAAATCATTTTTTTGTAGAAAATAAGCCATTTCCATAAGTTAATCGTGATTCTCCATCAGCATTGATAAGTTTAGCAAGATACACATATATTTACCTTCAATTTGTCTTTTGACGATTGAATCCTCCCCTTGGCTAGTTTTTGCACCTTGATGCTGGTGGGCGGGCTTAATTTCATGCTTTTTAGTGGAGTGTTGGAGACGGTAGGTTTATGGCCGGCGTTGCTGGCTCATGCCGCGATAGAATGGCGCCATGGGCAGGCAATGGGGATTACTAAGCTTCCCCTCTCTGATAAACCACTGCATGAGAGAACCAAAGATCTAGTCTAGCAGTGATAGTATCACACTTGTTACTCCTTCGATTGAGAGCCGCGTCGTAGTACGCTTACGTATAGGCACTGACGTTGGGTGTGATACTGGGGGGTTTTGCCGCAAATCACTCTTAATTTATTTATTTTTACGCAGATAGATTTATTTGGGTTTGCAAGGGAATTATACTATTGAAATATTTCAGAAAGTGCCCATCGATGCTCCTTCTATTTGCGTGACAAGCTTTCATTGTTGTTTTCATTGAGGTATTACTCAGGGAACAATGTTAAACACCATTTTTGTACATGGTATTGTAACTAATCTTATATGTGCTTCATTTTGATTTGGGATAAGTGTTTGAACTATGACTCGGGATTTCCACTGTGGTGTGCTTCTATTGTGACATACCCATATGTATTTTTGTGGTGCGACATAGTGGAAACGTGAGAGCGTAATTGGAACATTTACCCTATACAATATACAGTTTAAAATTAGCTTGGAAACTTACTTCAAAGTGAAGCATTTTAGTCACTTGAAGGTCAAAGCCAGAAGTACTTGAAACACGTTAAATTTAAGTTTAAAAGCATGGGTTATGATTGTGTAGGTAGATTAGAGATTTCAGTTATTTATTAAATAAACTTCAATTAGAGAATTCAGAAAGTTAATTAACATAAGAGATAGGACGCGGGGGGTCCACTTAGGGAGGCGACTAGCCTTTGAAGTTGTATAATAAATCTTTCTATTTAGTGTATTTGTTAATTACAGGCAATGTTAATAGCGAAAGTCATATCTTAAACCAGACGCTTACGAACAAGTAAAGTTTTAGGAAAGATGTGTTAAATATGTGTTATGGGGCCTCCCTTAGCTCAGTCGGTAAAGGCGCAGCTACAAAGCAAGACCATGCTGGAGGTGGCTGGGTTCGATTCCCGGTCCGGTCTAGGAATTTTTCGGGTTGGAAAATTTCTCGACTTCCCTGGGCATAGAGTATGATTGTACTTGCCACACAATTATACTAATGCAGAAATGGTACAGGCATCGAAAAAAGCTCTCAATTAATAACTGTGGAAGTGCATCTAGAACACTAAGTTGAGAGCACGCAATAAGCTAATATGCGATATGCAATAAGCTTGAAATGCGAAGAAGAAGAAGAAGTGTTAAATATGTTGATAGGTTTGAAGTAAGAATTAGGATTGTTGTGCTTTAGGTAAGGTATGATGTGTCAACAAAACCCTTTTGAGCAAATTTTCAGACATCAAAGAGATTTATTGAAAGACATTGCGTTGCGAAAATTGACAAGTCATACCATCTAACATATTAGTAGTAGCAGTGTCGCATAATCTTATCACAATATCGCGAATTGGTTGCCTGTAATTTACTGATTACCAATTCACGATATATTCCACGTAAAGTTGAGCGATAATACAAAACCATTAGTGGACCTTACTGACTACCATAACCATTACCATTAATGTTCTCAAATCATAAGTAAAAACGTTCTTATATAGTTCTCTTTCTGAAAATGTATGGAGAAAACAAGAATGTGGAATGGTAATGGTTCTTAACAACCCATTATTTGTAAGGTCCAGTACCAAAAAACCATAATACATAAGGTTGAAACTTTATCATTAATCGTTCATGTAAAGTTCCATAACCATTTCAGTTAAAGTTTAGCAGAGATTATAAACAATTTTTAACCATTTTAGGTAAGGTCAATTTATGGTTCGCGTTTATGCGGGTTATCTATGCTTTTTTCTAGTGTTTGGATCAAGTACAACTAATACTAATCTACCTTTATGTATGTTTTACTCCCTGTTAACCCATTATCTTTATGAATGGCGAATCATATGATGTGAGACACGGGGATTTCAATTGACTAAGGAGAAGGAAAAGAATAACTTCGAACAGGATATCAAACAAATTCAGGACCAATCCAAATGAGACCAGAAATCAACAAGGCATCGGGGCGTTATATACTCAGAGAAGTATTTGATAAATAATCAAAAAGTGGTAAGTTAAAATCATAGTGGAGCCAAGGATCATGAGAGGTAATTGTCTATAATTCATTAATTAGTAGAAATCTCGATAACTTTTTCAAGGCGGTGTGTTTGGTAGTCGATTTGGCGTAGCTGATGGCTAGCCCACGCATGCTAGCACTATCATCAGATAGGGAAATTTTCCTCTACCTGATAGTGGTGTTGGTAAGCGTGTGCGGGCTGCCGGTTGCGCCGGATCGACGATCGGATGCATTGTTTGCAGGAGCTGGTGCTTCCCTTTGAAAAAGTAATCGAGAAACAACCATATTATCCTGTAATTGATATTACTATTTTTATATATCAATGAAATTAGTCATGACAGAGTAACAGAACGAGTTTAAAAGACACAAGTTGACACAATAAACAAGATAAGTGGGGGTTAATACACAAGACAAAATGACAAAATGAGTGACGACAGAAGACAAGACTGGGACAAAAATCAACCTTAAAAAAAGAATGCGCAATTATATTATCAAAACTATTTGGATCAGCACAAAACCAACAGTGACCAAACGGGCACCATAGCCTAGGAACGTCTGTGTGTTGATTTAAAATAGAGGCTCATAGAAGCAAAATTTATCAATAAAAGGGGTCCAGTGTAGAGTTTAAGCAAGTGCTGCCATTGGATCACTACAATAAAAAAATTGTCTTTTGGCGATTGAACGATCAGACAACCCGTTTAGAATTTACAGGGGAAATGAAAACACTATTATTTTAAATATAGAAACCAACACAAGTTAAGTTGCACTTATTTTCATTATCACGCGTAGTTTCATCCTATTTAAGTTGGTAATATTGATGTACCTATCCATCTTATTATTTTAGGTACATTATAATGTCTTCCATGGCATTCCAAAAGAGCTTCTCTGTTAGAGTAGCTTCAATACCAAAACAATATTTATACCTGAATATCCAAATGGTACCTACGTTTGTATATAAGCATGACCATCCTTTTGAAAACAGACATCACTAAAAAAATCTTTTTGAGTGAACAAGTATAATTTGAATATGGAATTCAAGAAGGTCGAGTGTTGCAAGCTGTTTCCTAATAAACGGTGTTCGTCAAAGCTTCGTAAATTATCCGAAAATTTGATTGAAAAACATAAGTTCCTAGAGTGGAAATTTAATTTGGATACATTTCTATCAATCTGTGATACGTGTCGCTTGAATTTAAATAGAATCGAACCATGTGCTGAAAATCTGGAACTAGAAGTGCAACCGTCAGTCATGGACATCGCGGAGCCGCAGCATTCTACATCTCGACATGGCCTCGAAGAAATACCATCAACTACGTCAATAACAACAGCATCATCTCAGGATAGTGGAGAGCAACAATTTTCCAGGACGCATAATATTGAGCTATTCAACAAGGGCATAGCTGGTATCAACGTATCGCCAATATCGACAAAAAAATTCCAGAATGTTAACTATCCCCGGAGAAAGTATATGGACATTACCAATGGCATTAAGAAACGCATCTTCGGTTTTCAAGCGGAAGAAGATGACCTGGAGCAACTAAAATTGAAAGCTGCGGAACACAATGAGATGATCGGACAACTGAAGGAGAGATTTGCTGATCCAGGTTCATCGAGAGACGATCAAATAAGGATTCTGACGATTTTGCCGAAATCTTGGTCAACGCAAACGGTAATGGACGAGTTTGAAACAAATAAATACATTGTATTGCAAGCTCGATGCTTGGCAAACGGGAAAGGAGTATTGGCCACCCCCAACAAAAGGTTAGGACACAGTTTGGATCCCGAAATAAAAAACGAGGTATTGCAGTTCTTCGAAAGCGACCAGATAAGCAGAGCCACGCCAGGACTAAACGATTACGTTTCAGTGAAGAAGAAAGGTAAGAAGAGTCATATTCAAAAGCGACTTTTAGTTTGTACATTGCGAGAAGCTTTTATTAAATTTCAAGAAGTTAGTAAAAATAGCATTGGATTTAGTTCATTTGCAGCACTAAAACCAAAGCATTGCAAATTACTTGGTAGTTAAGGTTCTCACAATATTTGTGTTTGTACCATCCATGAAAATATTAATTTAATGCTTCATTGTCTTAGAAAATATTCATTCAAAAAAGATTTCAACCATTATTTTGAAGAAATATTATGCAGCTCATCATCCAGAACTAAACATTGTTATCTCCGCGAATACGAACGTTGTCCAGGTCTCTCAGATTTTGAAAGAAGTTTTTCAGAAAAATTCGAAGAACAGGGTATGTCTGAAATATGTTTTGAACAATGGGTTTCAACTGATCGATGTAGTTTAGAGAAACTTGTAAAACCAGTAGATGGATTTGTTCCTTATTTTTGCGAAAAGTTGGATAAACTGGTTATAAACATGATTATATCAAAACTCAGCAGTCTAGTTTCTTGAGAAATACAAAAAATACTCTTAAAAATGGATAAGTTGTCATAATTTGTGATTTTTCCGAAAATTATTCATTTGTTCTTCAAGATACTGCCCAAAGTAGTTACTGGAATAATCAACAAGCTACTATTCATCCAGAGTGCACCGGACACCATCAATAAATATTGTTGTCAACAATTTCCCTTCCTATGAATATATTAGACCGACTGGTAAATATCTTTAATCTTATTCATTTGCAGACTTTGTTGAACTTACGAAAGAAAACACTTTAGCTAGATGCATATAGCGCTGCTTTCCCTCTTATCAAAACTATCAAGGAGTTCGAGAGTTGTCTACTACAGAACTTACCAGGTCCACATGCCGTTGATGTAGGCGCAGGGATGAAAGTGCTCCAACCGTGCTTTGTTGCTCTGGCAGATCTTACTCAGCAGGTCGACCCATTCCTTCTCCTCGACGCAGTTGGCCGTCTGGACGTAGAGTGGACGTTCCTTTCGAACAATCTAAAACGGGAATTTTACAATTAAAATCAGTCTTTTCTTTTCGGAAAGCCTCTAATCATAAACGGATGTCGATGGCAAAACAGGGCTTCACTTTAATCTTCTCCTAGTACGTAGTTATTATTCTGATCGAAACATAAATTCATTCAAACAATGAAAACACGGGTGCTTTACAACATACCGATTGACCCATATTTCCCTCACCGAACCAGTGGAAATGCGTTCCAGCGACTGAATTCCACAAAACAATCGGCTACTCTCAGGCCGGTATTTCCTGTGCAGCACATAAACAACATCAACAACAGCAAGCGAAACCCCGTTAATTATATTGTGTGTGTGTGATTGTTATTTTGATTGCCAAAGGAAATAAGTTTATGTACGCACGCAATTGTTTTATTGTCCAAGCCCAAGTCTCCCAGCATACAAGTTTTATGCTACGGCAGTCCGCCTCGCAAATAGCATAGTGACCTTAATTATCCATTCCTTTTGTACACTAGGCAAGGCTGTTGCTGGCGGCTACTAAAAATGTCATTACCTTTCTAAGGAGGCATGAAATTAATAAATTTGCATATTTGCACCACCCTCGCACCGCCAACAACCAAAGCTCCTTGGGTGGCTCAGCAGCATTAACCGTTCATTAAGACAAAAGATAGTCGTCTTCAGCAGGGCAAAAATCTGAATGGAAAAAAAAACGGAGCAAGCCCACATAGCCATCTCAGAGAGCATGTGCTGCCCCTGAACCGAATGGGAGTGAATGAATGAATGAATGGATGAATGAATAGGCGAATCGAAGCGAATGAACAGCTTTGTTCTCGCAGCAGTGCTGCTGCGATTGCGCCCTGCTCAATTTTTATGAATGAAAAATATAAGCTTGGAGCAGCGAAGCTTGACTTGGGGGTAGCTCCATCCCCCATCCCTCCTCTGGGGCGCCGTATCTTTGAGTAGTATTACGTTTCGCTTGGGCAAATATCTTCAGGAGTTAGGTAGGTAGGTAGGTAGGTATGGAAGCGAATGAGCGAGTGAGCTGAAAAAGCTGTTTTCCCACGCGATTTGTCAATCGATGGGGCTGATGAGAGTGAGCACGACAAAGGGTGGAAGGGTGCTTGTGCCAATACTATACTGTAGAGGTTGAGAAGGGGTGAATGGGGGTACGTTTGTGTGGTTTTCGTTTTCTCATTTGGAGTTACAACAATGTTGGAAAACAGATTTTATGTGGACGATTCAAGCGGGAATGTAAGAAGTGTATCTTAGCTTCATTAGTCTTTAAATACTCGACTAAAGGAATATCTCGATACCTTACATTGGTATGGATGAGTCTGACAAATGTTCCCACAATATCATTCCAATACCAAATTAAGCAAATGCAATACCAAAACGATACCATACAGGCAAGGAATCAAAAATATCTCCAAATGACAAAATGACAAGCGATTACGAACCGAATAATAACGCCATGTCAGAAGTGGAAAGCAATAATGATATAATCTTCTTCGTTATTTTTCATGACAAGCAGCCCGTGCGGCACAACTCACTCGGGGCGGTAGAAGGAAACGAGCAAATTGCTGGCAAGCTGCTTCACGAAGTAAACCCGAAGGTGATACACGTGTGTTAATGGGATTTTTTTTGTTATGTCTTTTCTCGATTCATATCAAGCTTTGTTCTCATCCGTGTATATTGCAACAAAGCAGGCAAGCAATATATCATTATCCTTCTACCACTCGGATCGAGCTATGTTACAGAGCGTGTTTGTCATGGTAGTCGTGGCAACCGATTTGTCTGTATCGTTGGTTGCTTTATGTGTTTGGATTCGCTGCATACAGGTATTCTTTTGGTTTCCAAATATATTTGTGTGTGATTTAGATAGTATTATGCATGCAATGTTTTGATATTTTAACTCTCAGGTATGTCAGGCTGATATTTATAAAATTTTGGAATCAGGACCAGAATTAGTTATTCATCAGTTATCGATATAAATCTAGAAAAAAAGGCTTACTTAATCGCTTGGTCCATTTCTTAACTCAATTTACTCACTGATACGAGAAGAAGTCCTTCACATGTCAATTTTCTCACCCTTAGAAGTTATTTTCTGACTGCTTCCGAACTCAACCCTAGGGGCATAAATTCATCCAGATCTCTTCATGGTGACCAGCAAATCTCAATTAGCAATTTCTCGTTTTTCTCCCGGATATTTTTTTTTATGTTCCAGGTTTACATTTGAATTAAGCCTGAAATTGAATGCGATTGAGTCGAAGTAAAATGGGTCATTTCTAATACAGCAGCACAATTCTGCGACACGTTCGAAGTCTTCGATCAAAACTTTATAGACTGTTATTTGATTGAGTGTTCTTTTCAGAATTCTTCTAAAATAAATTTGAAATTGCTGAAAATTATGATAGCATCAGATTGCGGGGTTCCTAGTGTAATAGGATGCATTGTTGGTTGTCGGAATATGGAGTGTTGTTGAATGACAAGAAATGTGTGTATAATGTCAGGTCACTTGAATTTCTCGTTCACAAACTATCTGTTGATGGTGTTCGTCCAACGGAAAGCAGAATAGATGCAATCCAAAGATTTCGAGAGCCACAAAACGTGACCGAGTTGAGAAGTTTTCTCGGACTGGTGTGCTACGTTGGCCGATTTATTCCGGATCTGGCTACTAAAACTGATTCTTTGAGATAGCTGCTCCGTTCTGGTGTTCAATTTGAATGGACAGATCAGGAACGCGAAGATTTTCAAGCAATCAAAGCCGTTATCTGTAACATTGATTACCTAGGATTCTTCAACCCCCGCAATCGTACTAAACTCATTGCGGATGCTAGCCCAACGGGCCTTGGAGCAGTTTTACTCCAAGAAGACTCCTATGGTCAAATCAGAGTAATAGCCTATGCAAGTAAGGCTTTGATGGATATCGAGAAGAAATATTTTCAGACAGAAAGGGAGGCGTTGTCACTCGTATGGAGTGTGGATAAGTTCAAACTTTACCTCCAAGGGATAAAGTTTACATTGTTGACAGATTGTAAGGCATTGAAGTTCTTGTTTAGTCCCAGGTCTCGACCTTGCGCTCGTATAGAACGATGGGTTCTACGATTGCAGGCCTACAGCTACGATATCGAACACATACGAGGATCAGCCAACATTGCAGATGCTTTATCCCGATTGGCAGTGTATACACCGGAACAGTTTGATGCAGGAACTGAAGAATACATTCGTAATGTAGCCGAACAAGCAATACCAATTGCCTTAAGTATTGTTTAAATCACAAAAGAAACTAAGGCAGATGACACTATCCAAGCAGTTTTGAAAGCTCTCGAGACAGAATCAAGAGAGGTATTACCAAAAGAATATAAACCGTACGAGACCGAATTATGTGACGTCGATGGCATACTACTCAGAGGAAACCGGTTAGTTGTTCCAACGATATTACGAGACCGCGTAATAGATCTGGCCCATGAAGCACACCCAGGTATTGCAGCGATGAAACGTCGTCTTCGGCAAAAAGTATGGTGGCCATTAATGGATAAAGCCGTGGAAGCCTGTGTTAAACGATGTAAATAGTGTACGCTTGTCTCATCGCTAGGAGTTCCCGAACCGATTCAAAGGACAAAAATGCCAGTGAAGCCATGGATAAACATAGCTGTGGATTTCATGGGTCCTTTGCCGTCTGGTCACAATCTACTTGTTATAGTCGACTACTTCAGTAGATTCACCGAAGCTGTTGTAATGAAACAAATCACAGCCAAGCGTACTATCCAGGCACTACATGAATCTTTCTGTAGATTTGGCATTCCAGAATCAATAAAGGCCGATAATGGCCCACAATTCATTAGTGACGAGTTAGCAACATATTGCAGAGAGTACGGCATCCAGGCCAACGGTGAAGTTGAGCGCGCGAATAAGACGATTCTCAAATGCTTAAAAATTAGCCAGGAATCAGGTAGTCTAAACTGGGTCTGGGATTTACGTTCGTTTCTGCTGATGAACAACTCTACACCACATGCGATAACTGGAGTAGCTCCATCTGTGCTGATGTTTGGACGTGTTCTACGAGACAAACTTCCAAGCATGGAAAACAGGAGAGTTCGAATGGATGAGGAGGAGATTCACGATAGAGATAGGACGAAAAAGATCAATGATGCAGAATACACCAACGCTCGTCGCCGCGCAAGATTTACGGTTTTGAAAGAGGGAGACATAGTTGTCGCTAAACGTACAAATAAAACAAATAAGCTATCAACAACATTTGCTCCTGAAGAATTTCAGATAATCAAGCTGTCTGGGTCAGATGCAAAACTACGATCAACTGACTCAGGTCGTGTAATACATAGGAATACAGCCCACCTGAAGTCTTTGATGAAGAATATATCTTCTGGAGAAGACAGCACCAAAGGAACAGAAGCCGAAGAGGGTAACACGTCGCAACAAGCAAAACACGGGGACTTTCTAGATTCATCTCAACGTGTTTGGAGACTATATGGGAAACATCGTGGCGGCCGTTAGTGATGTGACTGTACCAAATTCAGCGGACGGTGTGTTCAGTAAACCCAAAGAAAAGGAGAAATTGTTCGTGAATGCTCACTCTTCCGATGGAACAGATTCAAAGAATGAAGGTCATCAATTTAGGAACACACTACGTAAGGAAAATCATCAACCAAAGCCGTGCTTTATTTGCCAAAAAGCTGGTCATAAATCAAAAGACTGCCATGTTTTTTTTTGGATTTGGATTTGAGCGAACGCTGGAGAAAAGTACAAGAAAATCATCTCTGTCGACGTTGTCTTATGGCTCACGGAAGATTTCCCTGCAAAGCGCCAAACTGTGGAATAGCAAAGTGCAACGAACGCCATCATATACTACTACATCCAGGAAATCCGGAATCTATCACCAATCCCTCAGAAGCACCATCAACTTCAGGAACTGTGTCAATGCATCGCCAACTTCATCATTCTATCATGTTCAGAATCTTACCAGTGACACTGCATTGGAAGAGCCGAAGTCTTGACACTTT